AGGGCTGGAGCACCTCTCCTATGAGGACAGGCTGAGGGAGTTGGGCTTGTTCAGCCTGGAGAAGAGAAGGCTGTGGGGAGACCTGATTACAGCCTTTCAATACCTAAAGGGGGACTATAGGAAAGATGGGGAAAATCTTTTTAGTAGGGCCAGCTGTGACAGGACAAGGGGTAATGGTTTTAAACTGAAGCAGGGTAGGTTTAGACTAGATCTAAGGAAGAAATTCTTTATAATGAGGGCGGTAAAACTCTGGAATTGGTTGCCCAGAGAGGTAGTGGAGGCCCCATCCCTGGAAACATTCAAGGCGATGTTGGACGGGGCTCTGAGCAACCTGATCTAGTTAGTGGTGTCCCTGCTCACTGCAGGGGAGTTGGACTAGATGACCTCTAGGGGTCCCTTCCAACCCAAAACATTCTATGATTCTATGATCCTATGACTCTGTGTAATGCACTGCTCAGCACTGTCTAAAATATCAGTGTGTTATCAATATTATTATCATCTTAAATCCAAACCACAGCACTATATCAGCTATTAGAAAGAAAATTAACTCTATCCCAGACAAAACCAGGACAATGCTAACCACGCATTTAGAATTCTGAACATGTTCTCTCTTTATTTTATCTACTCAGTCTGTATATTCATGCTGTATGACTTTTCCTCTTATTGTGCCTTGCTATTTTTCTGCAATAATAAGTAGGAAACAATTATGAGGACACAGTTAATGGGTATTCTTAACCCTAGTTGAAACCAAATATAGGTCCAGGTAAAAACATGACATTATAACACAACTGGAGTTCTTAGCACACTGCAATGGGAGTTGCAATGCAGAAAGGCTTATTCTTGTACACAATACAAAATGGCAATTTTCTGATGGCTGTATCTCAGGAATAATTAGAGCTGTCATCATAAAATACAGCATGTAGCACCAGAGAAGGTCAGTTCCCACAAATGTTTAGTCAAATTTTGTTCAGACTTTGTAATTTTTCAAAGAGGTCAATGTACTGGGAGATTTATGTACCGCTGAGATTTCATCATCCATTAGTATGAATAAGGAATCATTTCCATTAGTGAAAAAAATAGAAAAAGCTGAAATTTGACTAATTGAAGAGTTTGCTTAACCAGAACTGTTTACATTTTTTGAGAAAGATTTTATATATAATAGACAAAAGTATTATAACATGAAATCAGTTCAGGCATATAAGCATTAGATATTTATAATTAATTAAAAGTCAATTCAGACAATACAAAAATGTGAAATTCACTGTCAAACTCATGAACTAACCTGTTTGTTACAAAAAAAAAAAATCTTCTACAATAAATTATCATGATTTGGGCACAAACCAACTCATGTTTTAGTCAATGGCAAAACTCCAGTCATTTGC